AACGAAACAATGCTCAACCAAAGAGTAATCGGAGAAACGCAAATTAAAGCTGCAATGGCACACAATTACACACCCACCAGAATGGCTCAATCTGTCTTTCGATACTAAAAAAAGAGCAACAAGAACTTTACCTACATGGTCAATGGAAGTGAAAAATGCTACACGCCTTTGGAAAATAATTTACCTTTTTCTTTTGAAGGTCAAAATAAACATCACCCACGACCATGCAACTTCTTTCCTGGGTCTGTTTTCTAGAAAAAAAAAATGCATGCGCAGGTGCACCAGGGTACAATAACGATAGCTGTGCTCCTCATAGCCCCAAACTAGAAACAACTCCAAAGCAATCTTCGAGCAGATGGATAAATTGTGGTCTATTCATTTGATGCCATACACAATTACAGCTAGACACACCGTGGATGAAACTCACTAACATAATGTTTAGTGAAAAAGCTTGGGGAAGAAAGGCAGAGTCAACAGATTTCATATGATTCTTCCATTTGTATAAAGTTTAAACTAGGCAAAAAATGCCACATTTTTAGGAAAGCATGTGTAGGTGGTGAGTGTGGTAGGTGGTGAGCATGTGTAGGTGGTAAGTGTGTAACAGGAAGCAAGAATTGACTGTCGCAGTGTCCGTGTGAAGGGAGAGGAGTATGCGTGGGGAGGAGTGGGTGGGACAGGGGACATCATCCTATCTTCTGACTTGGGTGGTGGCCACTTCAGAATTAGAAAAAAAAATATTTCCAAACCATTATGGATTCATAGGAAGGTGCAAAGATAGTACCTCAATATCCCGAATTTCCCTTTACACAGTCCCCTCAACAGTTATATCATACATAGTGATAGTACAAATTAACATTGATCCAATGTACGTATGTAGTTCTGTGTCATTGGATCATGTGTCATTTCTCCTCCTCCTTGAGCACGATATGGAACTAGTCTATCACCACAGAGATCTCCTTGTACTTACCCCTTTATAGTTACTTCCCCCTCCCAGGTTCTCCCACCATCTGTAGTTCTGGCAACCACTAATCTACTTTCCTTCTCTATAATTTTGTCATATTGAGAATGTTATATAAATGGAACTGTGCAAGACGTGACCTTGCCCAATCGGCTTTGTTCAATCAGCAGAATCCCCTTGAGATCCACCCACGTTGCTGTGCTTACCAGCACTTTGTTCCTTCTTCTTGCCAAGTAGCATTTCGCTGTAGGGATGGATGGACGGCCATTGTTCAGCCATTCACCTGTTGATGGACATTTTGGTTGTCTCCAAGTTTTGGCTGTTATAAATAAAGCTACTGTGAACATTCATGTGCAAGTTTTTGTGTGGACATTTATTTTCACTTCTGAAATAATTCCCAGGAGTGCAATTGCTGGGCTTTGTGGTAAGTGTATACTTAGTTTTATAAGAAAACTGCCAAACTGTTTTTCAGAGTGGGTGTAACCATTTTACATCTCCACCGGCAACATAAATTTGGTATTGGTGCCAGAATTTGGTGCTATTTTTTTAAAAAAATGTTTCACTGTTCTTCTATGTGTACAGTAATCGATCATCACAGTGTTAATTTGCACTTCCTTAATGGCTAGTGATTTTGAACATGGCTGGATGGGGAGCAATGCTCTGTCTTCTGATTTAGGTAGTAGTTACTTGAGAATTGTTTCTTAAACTATGCTTATGTCTTTTATACACAGCACTGTGGATGTTTTGAATTTCACAATACAATACTTAAGAAGAAAGGAAGAGTACTGAGATTAATATTTTGAGATATTCTCTTGCTATATCCTACATAAAAAAAAAAAATAAGACGACCATATGTAAGGCATTGAAGTAACCTGGCTAGAGGTGGGGCAGACAGTCAGGGGTCCGGGTGTGAAGCCTGTGCTATTTAGCTGACCACAGCACCTCTGTGTAAAATAGACTTTCAAAAAACCAAACCTCCTTCCAAGCAGTCTGACATGGAGAAGTTCAAACACTGAAAAATAAAATTCATTATGCGTATGCATTACATAGGCGTTTCGTGTACTGCAAAGTGGAACATTGATATCAAATGAGAAACCCACACTTCATTTCCCGATAGCTGGGAAAGGCTTTGGAAAAGTGGAAATTTAAGAGCCATTTAAAAGGCTCTTTTGATTGTTAGCGAGAGGGAGCAGGGATGGGGCAGGGAATTATTACTTGTCATTCTAAGCACTTCTGCACTGTGTCTTACTTTGCTTCGAAAAGAAAAAGTCAGAAAAGACAGAGGGAGATTTAGCATAGCGTGTTGTATTAGTCTCCCAGGGCTGCTGTACATAACAAAGCCCCACAAACAGCATGGCTCAAACAACAGAAATGCGTTGTCTCACAGTTTTTGAGGCTAGCAATCTGAGATAAAGAAAATTAGATTCCTATGTATAGTTTAGAAAGGTGCTGATGCAAAAAAGAGTTTCTGGAGTCACTTTGCTATTACCCAGAAATTCAGGCATTTGAAATACTGTATTTTTTCATCCCAGTCTCTTGGATTATCGAGAGTGTGTACTCCAAAGAGTTATTCTTGCTCCTGCACATGGTAACATTTTTTTCTCTCTCATCCTCCTCACCCAGCTTTGGACCTAGGTGCTATTCATTAAATTAAACAACACGGTTAGAACCACTTTATACGTGGTAACCATTTTTACCTTAAATAACATAATAAGGCTATGAAGTAGGAATGAAAATTATTCCCTTTTTACGTATGAGGAAATGAAGGCATGGAGAAGCTAAGTCACTTGCTCCACATCTCAGAGCTAATTAACAGTGAGCTGAGCTGAAAACCCAGGTTGTCTGTTCCCAAGTCTGTGCTCCTAGACACTAGGCTGAACGATTCCTTGTGAAATTCAAACAATTATAACCAAGTTTCATGTAAATGTCAGCAAAGTACTTTCTTGGCATGTGGTAGGTGATATATGAATATTCCTTATCTTTTCTTCCTCCTTGTATCCCTGTTCTTTTTTGTTTTTTTACTTGTTATTTTGCAACACAAACGTTATTTGGGAATCACAGAGATAAAGATTACTGTATTGGTTCAGAAATTACATAAAGCATTGCAGTTGGCAAGTTCTTGGGATTTTTCTCTTGCTAGATGGATAAATGGCCCCAAAGACAAAACTTTCTTGAAAAGAAGACACAGTTTTTGACAATGCTACAATATTTCATTTGATCTGAGGCTAGGCTAGCTCTGAGGTCAGTCACCACAGTAACATGAGCAGAGATGTTAATAGGATTTATTATACTTCCATTGCTGAATTCTGAGATAGTTCTGAATTTTTAAAAATGCTGTAAAAATAATTTTGCCTTCAATTATATTTTAGGGAAGTGAGATTTTTTTTTTTCCCAAGTCATGCCCAGATTTTGGTAGTGTTAAATCAAGGTTTGTTGAAAATTAAACTGGGAATACTTTCTGGAGATGGAGACTGTTGGATCTGGGATTTGATTTTTCCCTGCTCACAGGCGGATAAGTGAGCCCGTTCCTGTTTCATGGATGCTGGCCCTAGACAAAGATTCCTGTGTCAGAGATAAAGGACTTTATTATTCATGGCACAGCAGGCAGCATGAGCATCAGCATATTCACTTTGGTTTTCTTTGCCTCCAAGTCCTGTGGGGACAATGCGACATAGCCCAGATGAATGTCACCCACGCAGTGGGTCTGAGATGCAGCCAAGAAACATGGAGCTTTCGGACCCACCACTTTTAGAGCAAGCAGTAAGCAACCTGCTCCTTCTCCTGGGGGAGACATCACCTAATCTCACAGGGTTACCAGCTGAATAAACAATCCTGAGAAACGGCTTGGGAAAAAGAGCAAACAGTGATGAGAAAACTTTTTGATAAGGCTGGATAAGTGGCGTACTAGTTGTTAGTGGAGACTGGAAAAGCAATGAAGAAATTGCTACAGCAATCTGGGTAAATGGCAGAGCAATCTGCAAGATTGTTGTTATAATAACTTGGAAGATAGCAAATGCTACTAATAAACTTTTGGATTTGGCTGAAGAAATCATCAGGCAGAATGTTCAAAGTATCAGTTTGTTGGTCCTAAATGCATATGATAAGGTATAGGAAGACAGAGAGGAGATAAAGAAGTAACTGTTTGATCTGTAAGTAGAATTTAGAGGAAAAAAAAGGATCCAAGATTTTGCTGAGTTGGAAAATAAAACTGTTTATCATCTCTTCTCTTCACAGTCAATAAGAGATTCTCAAAATAAAATGAGTACAAGGACACTGAGAAACAGACCTGAAAAAAAAAATAGAAAAAAAAATTAAAAATAAATAAATAAAATAAAATGAGACCTGGGGCCAAATCCTAAATTAAGTGTACAGCCATAACATCATATTTAAGATTATTGGAAGGTTCAAGGTAGTGTCTACTAGACTCAGTAGACAAAACAGCATTGTCCCACTCTGCCTGACTTATCATCCAAAGCAGAAAGAGATCTGTCTCAAAAAAAATTTATAAATGTGACTTTTGCCACACAGAGTAGATCTGTAGTTGAGTCATAGGAAATCCACAAAGATTTTAAGAGAATTTTGCTGGCAAAAGCACTGCTAAATTGGACCAAAAGGAGCAGAGACTATTCAAAATGAAAAAAAAAAATAATAACCTCTGGGCTCCCAACCCTCTATAGTTAGAGGAAAGACTTAGGAAGCTACTCAGCTGCAAAATGGGCCATTTCTTATAGAAATGAAAAGTTTTCTCAGATGGCTGAGCTAAGAGCCCAGAGTGTAGAACCAAGAGCCACCCTGAGAAATGGGTTGAGTGGTTCCATAGCAAAGGAGCAGCAATGGACCCTGATCAAGAAACCTTCCCTGCTTCCAATTTAGGGGCACCTGGTAACATGTGTCCAGCTGTCCTTCAGAATTGCCTTGGAAAAATGCCTTCTATGTCTCCCCATTCTGTTTTGAATAGGAGCATTTATTGTGGTTCTCCTGACTTGCTATGATATTTTGGGTATGTGCAGGATGAAAACTTGCCTTTTTATTTTATAGGTGTCCAGATTGAGGGGAGCTACACCTGAGGATAAGTACTCAAGGAGCCTCATTTGGATCTGACGCAGATGATGAGATCTTAGACTTGAACATGAAGCCATAATTGGATGAGACATTTGGGGTTCCTGGGGTGAGGGGTGAGTGTATTTTTCATGTGAGGGGAAAATAAATAATTGTGGTCAAGTGGAAGATGAAGGTAGATTGGAAAAGTATGGCCATGATATTTTGCTGACTTTCCCATTAAGAAGTGGAGTTTATTCTCCCCCCTGCTTGAATGTAGACTGGCCTTGTGACTTGCTTTGACTTGGGAAATGCAGCAGCAGTGATGCTGTCTGGCTCGCTAGACCAGGCTCAGGAGAGACTACAGTTTCTGCTCTCTCTATTGAACCGCTGCCCTAACGTGGAAAGCCCAGGCTGGCCTGCTGGAGACATGTGACTCAGTCGAGAACCAGAACCTACCACCAGACATAACACGGCCATTTATCCCACCCGACCCTAGCTGAACTGCTGGGTAACTGCAGCCATGTGAATGGAAAACCTGACTGTCTTAGCCACTTGCTGTAGTTTGAAAGTGTGTCCCCTCCAAAACTCACGTTGAAACTTAATCCCCATTGTAACCATATGGAGAGAGTGGAAAATGTGACTATGGTATTTGAAAGGTGGGACCTTTGGGAGGTAATTAGGATTAGATGAGGTCATGAGGGTGGGGCATTAGTGGCTTCATAAGAGAAGAGAGACCTGAGTTAACACACTCAGTCTCTTGCCATGTGATGCTCTGTGCCACCTCAGGATTCTGCAGAGTCCTCACCAGCAAGAAGGCCCTCACCAGATTCGGCCCCTTGACCTTGAACTTCCAAACCTCTATAACTGTAAGAAATAAATTTCTTTCCTTTATAAATTACCCAGTCTCAGATATTCTGCTATAGCAACAGAAAATGGATAAGACACCACCCAAATCACTAACCTTCAGAATCATGAACAATAACAAAAAATAGTCCCTTTTTTAAGCTGCTAAATTTTGGTGTGGTTTGTCATGGCCTGAAAAGTAACTAAAACATGTGCTCTTACAATGTCTCTGTTGATGCATAGAATCCTTCCAGAAGAGTTTCTAAACTACTTTGAAAAACTGCGTCTTATTTAGTGTTACTAAAGACTGATCATATAGACTTTATTACTTAGTAGCTCTGCTCCTAGTTATATACTATAGGAGTGTGTACACCAAAAAACAAAGAAATATGTGTATGTATTCACTAAAACACATGTAAAATACTGTATATAGCAGCATGTTTGTATTAATCCCAAATTCAAATTTCATAGTATATCAAATTTTCATCATTGATAGAATGGATAAATCAAGTATGATGTATTTATACACTAGAATACTATACAGAAAGAGAATGAAAAAACCTATTCTATAAACAACTATGCAGATAAATCTCACAAACATAATGTTAAGTTAAAAAAAAAAAGCCAAACACAGAAGAAAGCATATTGTATGATCAGCAGTCAGGAGAGTGGATGCCTTCCCAGAGAAGGAGTGAGTAATGCCTAGGAGGTGGCCCATGTAGGACTCTGGGGGCTATAACATTTTATCTCCTCACATAGGTGGGGATCACAAATGTGTGTTCATTTTGTGATAATTCATTGAGCTGTAAACTTATAATTTATGCACTCACCTGTGTGTATTATAGACTTCAATAAAACATTTCTTTTTTTTTTTTTTTTAAAAGAATATCCCAAGATTAGGAAAGAAATTTGAGAAACGCCAAAATTAGTTTTTATGCAAAATCTGAGATGTTCCAATTTATGCATCCGGGCATCCTGAGGAGAGAATTTGCTTTTTTATTTTGTCAAATATTTTCTCTGTGACAGCTCTGATCCCATTTTGATAAACTCTTTTCTCTCTTATACTTGAATCCTGTGTTTATTTCAATATTTATCAAGTATGAATAATATCCTTTAATAATTTGTATATGTTATGAATTTCAGGGGAAGAAAACACGTTTGCTACCAAGGATTTTGTATGAAGTCATCTTGTAGTCAGAGCAAAAGTTGTGGGAGGAAGCAGCAGAAGATGAAGATGAAATAGACTGGGGCCTGATTACGACATATCTTGAAGGTGTGCAAAATCTCACACTTCATTTTTTATGCAATAATTTAAAAAAACCCAACAATCATATCTGGGTTTGATCAAGATCACCAGATATCTGTGTTTAAAATGGTATAGTAAGATATTCCTACAGTCTCCTCTCTGAAAACAACTCTGAACAAAAATAAATAGAAAAGAAAACTCTATGTTTGAATAAACTAGGAGACAGTTGTAATGCTGATGCACAACGTATGAAGTGACAGTAAAGCAGGCTTGATGTCAATGGTGCCTGGAGTGTGATCTCTCAGGATGTCAGCAGAGCAAGACCGACAATGCCTAATTCAGAACAAAGGGAAACACACAGATCCACCACGTTTGCTAGGAGCAGTTTGCTAGTGCAGAGGAGGGAGGGAGAGGAACTCAGGACCACATGCAGCACCAACATTACCAGTCTTGGATGGCCTGGGGGAAAAGTAGACACCGAAACCTCCTCTCTCCCCAAAACTCAAAACCTCACTCACATAAAATTCTGTGTCAAAGGAACCAAATCGTGAACCTGACTCCCTGGATTATCATCTCCTGGCCTCTCTCCTGTGATATTTCTTCATTTATTTGGTATAAGAAGAACTGAATAATTCAACCATAACTAATAAGATAAATTAGCAATTTGTAGCTTGCAACCAGTAACCAATTGTAGCAAATAATAGTAATCGTACAAAGATACTGTAAGAAAAAAAAAATGTGGAAAGGAAGAAAACAAATGGTGGTAAAACATGCTCATTAGAAAAATGTTATCTCAGAGTAACTGAAAATTGTGGCCAAACAGCACCATCCAAATACTGACAAAGAAAAAGAATTAATGCTTGATTCAATTATGTCTATGAAACAAGAGCTCAAAGAAGAAATACAGGAAATTCAGGAAAAACATAGCAGGGCAACAGAAGGAGCTGAAACATTAACAGACTAAAGGGAAGCAGAGGAAAATAAGTATTCACTATTACAGAAATAAAAGCTTCATTAGAAGTAGCTCAGAGAAGCATATGGATGGCATATTGAGAAAAGCAAATAAAATGGAATAAATGAGCACACATAAGCTTGAAGAGAGAGAAACTAAGATCTGTGGCAGACAAAGGATATTTAACATAGGCATAAGTGGTATATATGAAAGAGAAAAAATAATGGAACAGAAAAAATATTTAAAGATATTTAAGTATTTAAGAAACATTTCCAGGAGTAAAAGAAGATTTAAATGTGCAGTTGTTCCAGAAAAGTAGAAACAAAACATTCTAGATATTTATTTGAAATAGAAGATGACTTGGGTCTGCAGTTTAAAAGGACCCACTTTACATATATATAAAAAAATTTTTTTTTGGACATAGACTAATCAACAGCAATACATCCTTGGTGAAGTTTGGTCTGCAAAATTGCAGCAAGAGTGCTTGGCATTGGGTGGGGAGGAAATACTTGCGCCACCTATAGGAGGAAAAGATAAGGCTGCCCTCTGATCTGTGGAACTTTGAATGTTAAAAGATAGTGGAACTTTGTTCACAGACTCCTAGAGAAAGAGAGTTAGACTCAAACATGTTTTACCTAGCTATAATTTTTGAATATAAAGGTAACATACAAATATTTTTGAATCATCCATGATGCAAGAACTATATAGCTTCTATGAACCCTTCTTAAAGAAATTACTATAGAACAAACTTCAGCCAAATAAAAGCTCAATGGAAAAATTACAGTATAAACATAAATTCTACTTGTAGGATTAAAACTAAAACAGATCTCATTTTATGGTTGAGGAATGAAAAATGAGAGCTATAAACTCTGATCATGGAGAAATGATGTAGCTATTAGAATTTTGGAGGGTGAGATAGTGAGAAGATATGGGGTGACCTAAGTACTGTGGTTTCTTCAACAGTTAAAGATTGAGGTACAAGAAATCATTGCAATGTGGTTAACAGAAAATAGATGTAAGATATATTTAAGGATAAAGGTAAACCCTAAGAAAGGTAATAAACAAAAATCAGGTGGCGGTAGGGATGTGGAAGAAAAAAGAAATATACTAATTTTATTTTTGCTCATAATGAAAGTAACTGACACAGTCTAAAAAGTAGATGATTAAGTAAATAATATGGAATTATAGCTATAAAGAACTTTGTAACAGTAACTGCCTCTAAGATGGAGAACTGGGTTCCTGAGAAGAGGGGGAACATATTTTTCACTGTGTTCTCTTTTATAGGTTTTTTTGTTTGTTTGTTTGTTTTTCGAGACAGAGTCTCACTTTGTTGCCCAGGCTAGAGTGAGTGCCGTGGCGTCAGCCTAGCTCACAGCAACCTCAAACTCCTGGGCTCAAGCAATCCTCCTGTCTCAGCCTCCTGAGCAGCTGGGACTACAGGCATGCGCCACCATGTCCGGCTAATTTTTTTCCATATATATTAGTTGGCCAATTAATTTCTTTCTATTTATAGTAGAGACAGGGTCTTGCTCTTGCTCAGGCTAGTTTCAAACTCCTGACCTTGAGCAATCCACCCGCCTAGGCCTCCCAGAGAGCTAGGATTACAGGCGTGAGCCACCACGCCCGGCCTCTTTTATAGGTTTTGAATTTGTATCATGTTCATGTGTTAGCTACCAAAAAAATAGAAAAATACAAAATAACAAAAAAGGTAAAATTATACTTATAAATGTGACCAGTAGAACAAAAACATAAGGTTTTCCAAGGATAAAGAACACATTCACCAAAACTGTAAAGAAATCACAGCCTATAGAAAGTATTTTTCAAGGAAAGGAAACTATAACAAAGAATATAACAAAATAAGGTGACAAAACTAAGACCAAACATACCTGCCATGTTAATACTTGGGGGTGGGTTAATCTCACCTGATAACAACAATGCAAAGATCCTGGGCCAGGCCAGTGATGTGATTATATAGACACTGTAATTCCTACAGTTTGCAAGCCCCAGAGCCAGGCCTAGAATCTGGGACTTCAAATTCCTGCCCTTCTCTCAATGCTACAACTGTAATTTCCACTAGGTTAGTTTCTTGCTCCCTAATAATTATGTTAAACTCAAATTCCTCAGTCTCTTATTAAAGGTTCTGCATAATCTGGGTTAACCTCACCCTCCAATCTTATCCCCTACAACTCCCTAGTGGATATTATGGTGGTCTCTTCAAATTCTATTTCTTTCTTTTGGGTAGCAGCCATGCAATTTGGGAGATTATCCCTAGTGCAAGGCATGTACCTGACTGATATAAGAATAATCAAATTCTGGGCCAGTGATCTGGTTCATGAACAGGTGAGTGACGCAACTCTGATCAGAGAGAGTTTCTGGAGGCTTCCAGGAACATTCCTTGTGTCTTCTTTTTGTTTTTATTTCAGCATAATATGGGGGTACAAATGTTAAGGTTACATACATTGCTCTTGCTTTCCCTTCCCCCTTGAGTCAGAGCTTCAAGCGTGTCCATCCCCCAGACAATGCACACCATACTTATAATGTATATATATATATACCCATCTCCTCCTCCCCCCTGCCCGACACCTGATAAATGGTTTTTTTTTTTTTTTAACATTTTGGTTAGATTTTATAACTTTGCCTTTGCCTAGCAAGGGTTAGAGGCCTTCCCCTCCTTGTCTGTTCGTAAGAAAGAAACGCAAAGCCCCTCACTCTGACTTGCGGGATGGGAGCAAGGAGGCACATTGCTTCAGTTCCTGCGGGCAGCTATTGTGGCCAGACCAGAAGCCAGCTTAGAACAGCCTCAGCAAATAAGGACAAAGCAGGAACAGGGCAGAGAAATGGGTCTGGAGTCTCCGGTGTGAGCACTAACAAAATTCTTTATCATCTCAACCATTTTTCTGTTGGATTTCCATTACTTGCAGGGCAAAGAATCTAAGAGATATAAATATCAAGTATTTGATTTGCCTAGAACCCAATTTTGAAACTATTGAAAAGTGGTATGAAACAAAGTCTCAGACAAACTTGGAATGTAATTGGGTTTGCTGTGTTTTATCACAAATGGTGAACCACAGATACCCAGACGTGTTTTCAAGCTTTCTAGGGCTCCATGGGGTTATTTTTCAAGTAAAGATAGGATAGAGGTGGTTTTGTGTTTTTGTATTTACTTTTCTAAAAATCTATCCATATATTCTAGTTCTTTCTTCTTCCTCTTCTTTTTCTTCCTCCTCCTGCTCCCCCTCCTCCCCCTCTCCTTCCTCCCCCTCATTTCCCCTCCCCACCCCTCCTCCTCTCCCTCTCAGTCCCCCTTCCCCTCCCCCTCCTAGTCCTCCTCCTCCTCCTCCTCTTCCTCTTCCTCTTCCTTCTTCTTTTTCTTCTTCTTCTCTCTCTCTCATGAAATCGGTCCACTATTATAATCCTGGCATTATTGCAGATGGTGCACTCAAATGAGTTTATGGGAGATTTTCATAAAGGGCCTATTTATAAAAGTGTGGGCAGAGTGAAGACAAACCAACAAGGCCTTGTGAAGGACTGTGGGGAAGGAAATGGTAGCAGCCATTCCCACCCCTACACCTGCAGCTGCAAGGGAAGGGCGTGGCTACGGGTACAATTCAGAGAAAACGTAATAGCTTCCTCTGTAGGAGACAACTGCCCAACACTTTTGTCCCTTGGTGGAGGGACTCAGACCTTTGTGATGACCTGGCAGGGCAGGAGGCAGGGACACAAATGCCCCGACCTCCCTGAGTCTCTTCGGTATCTGTGAGGGGGACAGGGGCAATGTTGACACACTCTGAAAGTGACTGTTGCACTTAGAGATTTCAATCCACTTTTTACAGATGTGGAAATAGTCTCAGAGAGCTTTAATAATTTGCCCAGGGTCATAGAGCTATTAAGTGGAAGAATTGAGATTTAAATGTGGGTTTAGGTCAGCAGTTCTTAATACTGCCTGAACATTAGTATCACCTGGGGAAGGTTTTAAAAAAATACTGAAGTCTGAGCCCATCCTGCGAAATCCCAATATAATTGGTCTGGCTTGGGGCCCAGGCTGCGTATTAAAAGCTCCCCAGATGATTCTAAT